TGGGTCCAACGCGACCAGGACAACGTCTTCTTCTGGCAACGCGACGTCCCGCGCGATCAAGGACCACGTAGAAGTCCATACCGTAAATTCCAATTCCAGGATCGTACTTGATACCGAGATCGATGTGCTCCTACAGAAAAACGTTAGTATCAAGATTCACAATACATTACCTTGTGCAGCATGGTAAGTAACATGATGATAAAAAGAGATTAATTAGAGCATGAGAAGCGGATGACTTCACCAAATATATGGTTTCGTGTTTTTCTGATATTGTTCAAAAAGAAACTTTAAGAAGGAGTATTTGGAAGCAGAGGGCTGTGGTAAAAATCATGTACAGATGAGGTATCTCATAATTCTTTATTAGAACATCCAACTGATAATGTCGGCTATTCTGCATTTTTTTCTACTAAGGATGATGTTTGAAGAAGTAAGCATTCACAGGAGTATTCATTATCTTTTATGTCTTTCCATACATCAAATAGATTTTAACATGACTGTGGCCATTTTCTACTTGTTATTACACAAGACTCAATTACCTCCGGCTTGCTTAGTCTACGAACTGATTTGTTCAGTCAGCGTATAAAAATTCAAGCGAGATATGAAAAAGGTGATATTGAAGAACCTCTACAGAAATTGTAAGCCTACTTTCCAAAGTGATACACAGCTACCAACAATAATCAAATGCTTGCCAAGCCGAATTTTGATAGCTTTTAGCGTTCGTCTAATGATCAGTAGGTAAGAAGAGACGATAACTTACACATATAGGTTCGAATGTATAAATGGGGAAATACCAAGATAGGAAAAAAACCCTCCCGGATGGCAAAACAGTGAGGAAAGCGATGCCTGTTCCTATTGATGTAAAAATGCTATTTGAAGATAATTCAAGAGAAAACGGGAAGAAAACGGTGGTAGCAAAACCACACTGTAGATAAATAAAACTGATGAGATCTGTAAATAATCTGTGGAGCTGCTAAGTAAAAATGAGATGACTAAGAGGCACTATGAAACAAAATCTTACCTGGATACCGAATCCAAAGTTTCCAGAATCCGAAAAGTTCTCTCTGTACAACTCAAATTCCTTGACCTTCAGGCCCTTTTCAAGAATCTCTTCAGCCTTGGGTCCACGAACAGTGCAGTGCACGGCGATCTTCTCATTTCTTCTGATGCCGAAGGATCGAACTGTGTACCTGGCTTTTGAGAACACAGGGGTTTGGCCGGTAAGCTGTTCCAACACCTCAAAAAAAACGCAGAATTGCACTATTTGTTAATAC